ATAACATCACGGCTGTGATTTGGTATTCAGTTCATTTCTGGCTAAATCCAGGTTGTTTAGATGTTCTTCTGTCACAGCTGCCGACTAAAAGCTTGCTCAGTGGTAATGACAGGAATTTAGTGTAGTCTCATCTTTAAAGTCTGACCAAATCGGCTGTAGGTCAAATGTAATCGTAAAAAAATCCATTTTCTATTTGTGCGCAAAGTAAGTAAAAACGCTCTAATGGCTTGAGCGTCTCCTACAGCTGTCAAAGTCGTTGCTTCGTGTCTTATGGCGAAATAACAGCACAGTTAGAACGATTCTCAACCAAACGGCTTGCGTGGCCGGATCTAACTGTTGTATAAATATATACATATATATATATATATAAATATATATATATATATATATATATATATAAGCAATATTGCACGTTCTATAGAAAAAAAAAATGCACATTCTTCTCAATGATAGTATTATTGCACAGTGTAATAGGAAATGTAAACTTGACACTGGTGAATAAGGATAAAAGTAATGCTCAAGTAATGAGAACATAAATATTGCACAGAAAAAATAGCTGCATTTTTATATAGAAGACAGAGTTCTAATAGAAGTGTTAGACAGTCTTTGTGTATATTCAGGAGTTCAACAGTCCTGATAGCATGTTGTGTAAGAGGGAGTTGAGTAGTCTGATGGCCTGTGGGAAGCAGCTCCTGCTGTGTCTGGTAGTCTTGCACCACATGCTGCAGTAGTGTTTGCCAGAGGGCAGAAGGCTGAACAGTCCATGGGCAGGGTGGGAGGGGTCTCTGAGTATCTGCTGAGGAAGCGTGACGGGTAGATCTTATATGGATGGAAGTGGGGTTCTGATGATTCTCTCTGCCGTCCTCACCACTCTCTGAAGGGACTTCTGGTCTGCAGCGGTGCAGCTGCCATACCACACTGGGAGGCTGCTGGTCAAGATGTTCTCTATAGTGCCTCTGTAGAAAGTTGTGAGGATAGAAGGGGGGAGATTTGCTTTTCTCATCCGTCACAGGAAGTGAAGGCGCTGCTGTGCCCTCTTGACAATGGAGGTGGTGTTTGTAGTCCATGCCAGGTCGTCCATGATGTGCAATCCCAAAACCTTGGTGCTTCTCCACAGCGTTACCATGGATTGTAAGTGGAGTATGTACCATGTGCTTCCTCCTGAAGCTCCTCTTGTTGACATTAAGTGACAGGTTGTTCTTGTCACACCAGATGACAAGTTGGTTCACTTCCTCTCTGTAGGCTGAGTCATTGTCATTGCTGATGAGGCCCACCACCGTTGTATCATCTGTGAACTTAATAATGTGGTTCAAATTGTATTCTCCACAACAGTCATGAGTCATCAGAGTGAACAACAAAGGGCTCAGCACACAGCCCTGCGGAACTCGTGTTCATGATGATGGTTTTAGAGGTGTTTCTTCCAACTCATGCTGTCTGGGGGTCTGTCTGTGAGGAAGTCCAGTGACCAGTTGCACAGTGGGGTGTTGATGCCTAATGGGCTGAGTTTCCTTACCAAGTGCATGGGGATGGCTATATTGAAGGCGGAGATGAAGTCAGTGAGGAGCATCCCCACATGGCTGTTCTTATTCTCCCTATGGGCCAGACTTAGGTGAAGTGCTGCTGATATGGCATCATCAGTGGAGCGGTCAGGGCAGTGCAAACTGCAGTGGGTCGAGTGTTGTCGGGAGTCTGGATGTTATATGATTTCTGACCAGCTTTTCAAAGCACTTCATCATGATGGGAGTGAGTTGTCATCGCAGGGTGGTGGAAGGGGTACCTGTAGTCTGTGATGTCAAGTCAAGTCAAATTTATTTGTATAGCGCTTTTTACAACTGATGTTGTCACAAAGCAGCTTCACAGAAATCCATTAAAGACAAAGTTTTAACATGAAATGTAAATCCTCCAAGTGAGCAAGCCAGGGGCGACAGTGGCAAGGAAAAACTCCCTCAGAGCTGAGGAAGAAACCTTGGGAGGAACCAAGGCTCACATGGGGGGACCCATCCTCCTCTGGTCAAACTACCTACAAAATTATTATACTACTAATATTAATAGTAGTGGTAGTAGTAGTAGTAGTAGTAGTAATAGTAGTAGTAGTTAGGAGTCCATGAAAACTTCAGTGTAGAGTGGGAGTGGGCAGCTAGTCCAAGTCAAGTGGCGGTAGCTGGGCAAGTGGTGGCGACTAGGGCGTGGGCAACTGGTCTGAAGCGGATAGCAGGAGAGCTCCGCAGACAATCATCCATCAGTGTCCGTCCAGCAGGTGGGCAGTCGTTTACTCGGAAAAAGGTAGGGAGATGGAATTAGTTTTGTTCTGTTTGAGTGTATGTAAAACAGAGAATGTGAACATTTCCAGAGTGTGGCTAATGACTCTGGTAAATCTGACTATAACAGCTTAACTAAAAGGAGAGAACCAAAAGGACACACAGACACGGGAGGACCCTGAAACAATCTGGCATCCCTCCGCTCCACCGTCCATAAACCTGAGTGATCGCGTGCGAGCGGCATGACAACAGCACCAGCGTCTCAGTTTACTATAATTCCTTGTGTCCATGGACCCCTGGCTCTGCTGCCTTTATCTAAGGGGGAACATTAACTACCAAAAGCTAAACTAAACAAGTGAGTTTTCAGCCTAGATTTGAAGATTGCATTTGGGGGCTTTATAAGAAAAGGCTCTTCCCCCAGCTGAAACCTTCTGAATTTTGGGAACTATTAAAAAGCCAGCACTTTGTGATCTGAGTAATCGTGGTGGCTCATAATGGGAAATAAGGTCTTGCGGGTACTCAGGAGCGAGCCCATGTAGGGCTTTATACGTCAATAAAAGAATTTTGTAATCGATACGGAATTTAACAGGCAGCCAATGGAGTGATGATAGAACTGGACTGATAAGATCAAATTTTTTAGTTTTAGTGAGAACCCTGGCTGCAGCATTTTGAACTAGTTGAAGTAGTTGAAGTCCTGCTGGTGCATCCTGATAGTAGTGCATTACAATAGTCTAGCCTTGAAGTAATAAAGGCATGTACTAATGTTTCTGCATCATGCAGTGATAAGGCATTTCTTATTTTGGCGATGTTGCGAAGATGTAAAAAAGCTGTCCTAGTGATACTGCCTATGTGTTGATCAAATGATAAATCTGGATCAATTATGATGCCAAGATTTTTTGCTGCTGAACCAGGTATAACTGGAAAGTCAGCAAGATTTAAAATTAAATCTGGTAATTTATTTCTTGCCACTTTTGGACCCAGAAGGAGAACCTCTGTTTTGTTACTGTTTAGAAGGAGGAAGTTATGTAACATCCAGCCTTTCACATCTTTTACACAGTCCTCTATTTTCTTTAACCTGTATTTGTCACTTTATTTGTCAGGCTTGGCTGATATGTACAATTGCGTATCGTCTGCGTAACAGTGAAAGTTAATGCCATGGCTACTTATAACTGTGCCTAACGGTAACATGTATAATGTAAATAATAATGGTCCTAAAATAAGTAAGATTTGAACCACGATAGGGCTGTCCCTGTGATTCCAACCATGTTTTCTAACCTTTCTAGGAGAATATTATGGTCTATCATATCGAAAGCTGCGCTGAGGTCAAGTAGTACCAACAGGGATACGTAGCCTTGATCAGAGGCAAGAAGAAGATCATTTGTTATCTTAACTAGAGCTGTCTCAGTGCTGTGATGTGGCCTGAATCCAGATTGGAATTTTTCATATATGTGGTTCTTATGTAGATATGAACTAAGTTGTTGGGCTACAGCTTTTTCTAAGATCTTAGATATAAATGGTAGGTTAGAAATAGGCCTGTAATTAGACAATACGCTAGCGTCAAGGTTTGGTTTCTTGATCAGAGGCTTAATAACTGCTAGTTTAAAAGCTCTGGGTACATGGCCCAGGCTAAGGGATGAGTTTACTATAGTTAAAAGAGGATTAATGATAATTGGTAGTACTTCTTTGAGTAATTTTGAGGGGATTGCATCAAGTGTGCAGGTTGTACAATTTGCAGAGGAGATAATCTTCTCTAGTTCTAACTGTGGTAGTGGATAGAAAGTTTCCAGCCTTTCCTCTGCAACTATGTTATGTTTTATATCAGCCACATCAGATGACAGCCAAGTTGGATTTAATACTGTGGTTGAATTTGTTGTCTAATATTTTCAATTTTATTATTAAAAAAGTCCATAAAAACATCACTGGTGAGAGTCGCCGGAATTTGTGGTTCAGTGCCTGCCTGATTTTTTGTAATTCTGGAAATCACACTAAACAGTACTCTAGGATTATATTTATTATTCTCGGCCATAGCGAGGCCAGATATGCTGAGCGAGCCTTATTGAGAGCATTTCTATACTCTATAAGGCTTTTCTTCCAGGCAAAGTGGAACACTTCTAGCTTGGTTGATCGCCATTTCCGCTCTAGTTTCCGTACTGTTTGTTTTAAGGTACGGGTTTTATCATCGTACCATGGGGCGAGCTTTTTCTGTCTTATCCTTTTGATTTTAAGTGGCGCCACATTTTCTAAAGTAGATCGAAAGGTATTTTCTAAATAGTTGGTTAGTACATCTAGCTCCATTGGGTCTGATGGAGTGGAGACTAGGGTTGTTAGTTCTGGGAGGTTTTCTATGAATTGCAGGGCGGTAAATGGTTTTATTGAGCGCTTTGTAGAATAGCGAGGGGACGTACATATGCTATGGCTAAGACGTAGCTCATAAGAAATTAAGTAATGGTCAGAGATTACTGAGGTTTGCGGTAGGATACTAAGCCTGTCTATGTCAAGTCCAAGTGTCAGAACTAGATCTAAAGTGTGACTACAGTAGCGCGTAGGCCCTGTTACATTTTGGGTAATACCAACAGAGTCTAGGATTGAAGTAAATGCCTTTTTTAGTGGGTCATCTGCCTTCTCAAAATGGATATTAAAATCTCCTACAATTATTACTTTATCATTGCACACAGCTAGGTTTGCAGCGAAATCACTAAATTCTTTAAAAAATTCTGTGTAGGGCCCTGGTGGTCTGTAAATGTTAAATAATGAAAATGCGTTCTTTTATTTGGCCGGATTTGTAATGTTAATGGAAAGAACCTCAAAAGAAGTGAAAGTGTCACATTGTTTCTGACTGATATCTAGGGTATTCTGGTAGATTACACATAATCCACCTCCTTTGCCTGATAATCTTGGGCTGTGTACATAATTATAGCCTATAGAGGTGGCTTCATTTAGTGCTGAATATTCATCCTGTCTAACCCATGTTCCAGTGAGACAGAAAACGTCAAATTTATGATCACTTATTATTTCATTTATGATGACTGCTTTTGAGTTTAGTGATCTTATATTGAATAACCCAAAATTTTAGAACTGAGGTGTTGCTGCTATCATCTAAATATGATTTAATATTGATTAGGTTATTGAAGTGGGCTGATTGAGTTTTTCTACGTTTAGATTTTGATTTAATTCGGGGCAAAGAGACAGTCTCAATATAGTGGATCCTAGGTGACGCCTCAAGGTGGTTCGCAGACGGTTGGTTTAGCCTGTCTGTCTGTGGCCTGGTCCCGGCTCTGGATTGTCAGCAGCTGTTTACACTACTCTGCCGACTAACTAAAAGACTATGTGCTATGCTGCAAGAAAGTAAGGCAGCACCCTCCCGCGTGGGGTGGACACCATCCCTACCTATAAGACCAGGCTTGCCCTCGAAATGTAACCAATTATCTATAAAGCCCACTTCATTTTCCGAACACCACTTGGACATCCAGCAGTTTAACGCTGAGAGTCTGCTGTAGGCTTCAGCGCCGCGCCGCATTGGGATGGGACCAGAGCAGATTACGGCATCGGACATCGTCTGGGCCAGTTTAATCACCTCTCTAATGTTACCCTTAGTTACCTCAGACTGCCGCAGACAAATATCATTGGCCCCTACATGGATGACTATCCTCGAATATCTCTTATTAGCTAACAGTCTAAGGTTGCCGCTCTGGCTCCCGGTAAACAGCTAACTGTTAACTGCTGGCGCCCCTAAAGGAGTAGCTAATTTCACGTGTCGAACGATCGAGTCTCCTATAACCAGAGCACTTTTAACAGGCTCCTCAGCGGGTGTTTCGCTGAGCGGGGCAAACCTGTTTGACACGTGAATCAGAGGAACGTGGTGTTCTGGTGGGCTAGCTTTGGCCTCAGCGTTAGCATTAGCCTTAGCTTTCCGGCTATGTCGCCGAGACGTCACCCATTCACCCCGCTGTGAGGGCTCTAACGCCGGAGTCGAGGGGGTGCTGACTCTCCCTAAGGCACCCAGGGCTGCTAGCGGTGAATCTCGCTGTCTGTCCCTTAATAAATCCCGGATGTGCACCTCTAGCTGGTCCACCTTTTCCACCAGGGAGCTAACTAGCTGGCACTTAGCACAAACATAGCCACTATCATTATCGCTAGAGGTGGAAAAGGGGATTAAACTAAACATGCCACACTCTGAGCAGGCAAAGAAACCAGCAGTAGCCATGGTATTGCAGGAACTTACCGTTTTTGGTTGATTTAGGAACTTAGCAGAAAGATAGCGCTGGAGCGGCGGGTCAGCGGTCTGTGCATCTGTGCGTCGTCTGTACGTCACTACGTCACTGCGGGCTCCACACAGCAGCGTGGACTGGATATCTTGCCACAAGCACCTGGGGTATTTTGAGTCAGTGAAGTGACTCTGGATTTTCTGACTTCTTGCTGCTCTCACGCTCCTGTTCAAGTTGGCTCTAGCAGATCTAAGAGCATCTTTGTTCCCAGACTTGAAGGCAGCATTACGTGCTTTCAAAAGCGCATGTACCTCTCTGGTGAGCCAGGGTTTCTGGTTGGCACATGTGGTGATATTCTTGATGACAGTCACATCTTCCACACACTTGGATATGAATCCCGTCACAGACTCAGCATACTCCCCCAGATTGACAGTGACAGCCTCTCTGAACACATTTCAGTCAGTCCAAAAAACAGTATTGAAGTGCTGAAATTGCTCCCTCTGCCAGGTCCTCATCTGCTTCACAAATGGCCTGCTTCTGGTTAACAGTGACCTGTGTGCTGGAATTAGCATGACAGAGAGATGGTCCGAGTTTCCAAAGTGGGGGTGGGGAGCTGCCCTGAATGCCTGTTTGATGTTTGTGTTAACCCGACTCTACCATGCTATTTACTTATAACTACTAAGTGATTTTACTCTAGCATTTTTAAGCAAGTGGACACAATCCTCATATATGTCAATATAATTCAGTAATAAGTAAAACTCAACTCACTGTCATAAATTTGAAATGTTTTGCTTCTACTTCCAAGTTAAAATAGCTTTGATTAGACATAACTCAGACAGCTACGATGACTTCCCACAACTGCCACAACCAGTCGCCTATTTCTGCTATAACTTCTTGTCGCCTATTTCGGCTATGACTTCTGTTAGTATCTATCAGTAACTTAAAATTGGTGCAGACAAAGTAAGATCTATTATATGTTGTGTTGATCCTGTTCCTAAATCATATTTTAAGACTTTTGATTGTATGCAAAATGACATTTTAACATTTGTCAACTGGCATTTTCCCAAATGCGTTCAAGACTGCCTTAAAAAAGAAAACATGAATTCTGCTGTAATTACTGACCCATTTTAAACTTTCCTGTTTAAGTATGAACTGCATACCTGGTATCTAACAATAAATCTGAAAACTTTCATTCAGGTTTTCACAGCGCCTCACTCGAGGGGAAGGTATCTCTATCCCCTCCAGGAATTTCTCATAAACGCAAGCACAAAACTTACTATATCCTTGTGTATACGAAGAGTACAAATGAACATGCATAGACACTTGAATATAATTAAGCTGTTTGTTAAAAAATTCTATAGGCTGTCACTGAGATGGACAAGATGAGTAACGTGAGAAAATAATAGGTTTATAATATTAGACGTTGATATTTAATGTAGTTCGTTCTGTAGCATATCTGTTTCAATTTTTGGAAATCATAAAGATAAAAAACGTAACTTTTTTCATCTTTTTTTCAGTGTTAACAGAAATATTTTTTTAGATCTTTAGATGTGAATACCAAAGAAAGACTGTAGTTCCTCTCCAGGGATTAGTGAAATTAACTTTTCCCTCTAGTTACCAACATAGAGGAAAAGCTAGTTTTGCATGTTTTCTAACAGCTGAAGCTGTACAACACTCCAGATGGTGGCAAAACAAATCACCTACATCCAGAGCCAGTGGCATAACTAGGATCATATGGCCCCCCACCATAAAAAAAAAAACTTTGAATAAAAAAAATGACAATGTAATTTAGTTTATTTGATATTGTTATATCTCAAACAAGTTGATGGTCTCACGGTATGCCACTCCATCTAATGTATTTAACAATAGATATAAATTATCTATTATACATTTAATATAATTTATAAGGGTGGCACAGTGGGTAGCACTGTCGCCTAACAGCAGGAAGGGCCTGGGTTTGGTTCCCTGGCTGGGAGACCAGGGTCCTTTCTGTGTGGAGTTTGCATGGTCTGCGTGGGTTTCCTCCGGGTCTTCTAGGTTCCTCCCACAGTCCAAAGGCATGCAGTCAGGCAAATTAGACATGCTAAATTGCCCTAGGTGTGAGTGTGGATGTATATGTCTGTTTGTTTGCCTCCCCAGCAATGGGCTGGCAACCTGTCCAGGGTGTATCCTGCCTTGGTGGTGCTGGGATAGGCTCCAGCACCACCACCCCCGCGACCCAAAAGGAAAGCGGTTTAGAAAGTCTGTGTATTTAATAATACATCTAATTTATTCGATAATAAAATTAAAAATAGTATTTTGTAAATGCATTAAAAATAATGTGTTTTTTGATAGTGAAGTTATTTTATTGTGTAAGTTAGAGGAATACTGTTAAAAGAACACAGGTTAATACTTGACTTCTCACAGCACTCCAGCCATCGCATGGATATGTTCAATTCCATCAGCAGCACCTGATTTGATTTAATGAAGGAAAGATATACTAGGTATTGGATGGTGACTAATAATATTACGCTTCATCCAGGAAAGATTTAGATAATAGTTTTGCTAACACACATCAAATCACAATGGATATTGTATTTGTTCATTTGTATTCATTCTTTATCTTTTATTTCCTAAGGTGTCTGTTATTATTTGTTTAGGATAAGAAGTGATTCCAGACTTAAAATGTAGATCTTGTGATACCAGATAGCCTACTTAGTATGATACCCATCCATGACAGTACCATAATCAACTCAATCACCTAAACAGTCCAGTGTAAATAATGCTCCATTCCATACGACATTTTAAATTCAAATGTAACAGTATTTTTGTATGCATGATGTAATGTCTGTGTTCCCCATAATACTCTGTGAAGTCTCTAATAATATTAATTAATGATGGCATGTTCAGCGTTTGCTTAAAATAATAGTCCAGTTTCTGCTTCCTAGCATATTTTTCTTACAACTGATTTTACACAAACTGTCTGTTGTCACACGTCCCTCAGCCTCAGAGGCCTCTAGGGACTCCAATTCCCAGAATCCCCAGGGGGATCACATGGTTCTCAGTCCTCCATCTTGCTCCAATCACCGCTCTCAGTCTCCTGAGTATTAACTGGTTACACCTAGAGAAGGCCAGTTAAGAAGACCAATAGCGTGAGAGATCAGGGGGCAGAGGGGTGAGGGAGAGATTTTTCCCCAACAGGAGAAGGGTCTGTGCACGGGCTTGGTTGCCGCTGGCCCCAGTGTGACTGCCCACCCTGCCCTCAAGTTACACCACTGGTAATGTTTTGAATTAATCTGTGGGTGAAAGAGATAGTGAGAGAGCAAGGGAGTTAGTGAGTGAGTGAGTGAAAGTGATGAGAGTGAGTGAGTGAGATTGCAAGTGTATGAGTCAGATAGTGAGTGAAAGTAAGTGAGATAGTGAGTGAAAGAGATAGACAGGGAAAGTGAGATAGTGAGAGAGTGAGTGTGATAGTGAGTGAAAGAGATAGACAGTGAAAGTGAGATAGTGAGAGAATGAGTGTGAGTGAGTAAATGAGTGAGATAGTAAAAGTGAGTCAGTGAGATAGTGAGTGAGTAAGTATGATAGTGAGTGAATATGATAGTGAGTGAATGAGTGAGAGAATGAGAGAGTGAGTAAGTGAGTAAGATAGTGAAAGATAGTGAAAGTGATGAGAGTGAGTGAGATTGCAAGTGTATGAGTCAGATAGTGAGTGAAAGTAAGTGAGATAGTGAGTGAAAGAGATAGACAGGGAAAGTAAGTGAGTGAGATAGTGAGAGAGTGAGTGTGATAGTGAGTGAAAGAGATAGACAATGAAAGTGAGATAGTGAGAGAATGAGTGTGAGTGAGTAAATGAGTGAGATAGTAAAAGTGAGTCAGTGAGATAGTGAGTGAGTTAGCATGATAGTGAGTGAGTAAGTATGATAGTGAGTGAATATGATAGTGAGTGAATGAGTGAGAGAATGAGAGAGTGAGTGAGTGAGTAAGATAGTGAAAGATAGTGAAAGAATGAGGGAGTGAGTGAGTATGATGGTGAGTGAGAGAGTAAAAGATAGTGAGTGAGTGAAAGAGTGGGTAAATGAGTGAGAATGTGTAAAAGAGATAGTGAGGGAGTAAGTATGATAGTGAGCGAGTGAGTGAGTGAGTGAGTGAGTGATTATGATAGTGAGTGACTGAGTGAAAGATATAGTGAGTAAAAGAGTAAATAAAGGATAGTGAGTGAGGAAAATAGTGAGTGAAAGAGTGAGATAAAGAGTAAGTGAAAAAGTGAGAGTGCGTGAAAGATTTTGAGTGACAGTATGTGAAAGAGATAGTGAGTGAGTGAGTTAGTGAGTGAAATAGATAGTTAGTGAGTGAATGAGTGAGTATGTGAGTGAGTGGTATAGATAGCGAGTGAGATAGTGAGTGAGATAGTGAGTGAAAGAGATAGTGAGTGAGTGAGTGAGTGAAAGAGTGAGATAACGAGTGAGTAAAAATGTGTAAGAGTGAGTAAAACAAATGAGTGACAGTCGGTGAAAGAGATAATGGGTGAGTGAGAGAGTAAGTGAGTGAGTGAGTGAGTGACAGTGAGTGATATAGATAGTGACTGAGTAAAAGGGATAGTAAGTGAGAGAGTGAGTGAGTGAAAGTGAGAGTAAATAACAGACAGTGAATAAATGTGAGTGAGAGAAAGGGTGAGACAACGAGTGAGTGAAAAAGTGAAAGAGTGAGGAGTGAGACAATGGCAAGGAAAAACTCCCTAAGAGCAAGAGGAAGAAACCTTGAGAGGAACCAAGACTCAAAAGGGGAACCCATCCTCCTCTGGTCAACACCAGATAGCAAACAACATTTGTAAAAAAAAAATTCAAATGCAGAAATGGGGGAAAAAAAGGTGAAGCAATGATTATAATTAAATAGTCTGAGCCTGTGCAGAAGCAGCAGCATCCTCAGAAAGGTCAGTTAATGCAGGTGAGGTTTGCACAGTGTTGTACAGTAAGAAGTTCCATGGTGGTCAAAACGATCCAGCGAGTAGTGGGCACCCGATTAAGGCAGAAGAAGCAACAGCATCAGACTGCGCAGGATGGGCAGCTGTTCAACTCTGCAAAGAAAAAGAAAACACACAGAGAGTTAGTTCTGTAAAGAGTGACTGAGCCCAATTTACAGTGCTAACAGAGTGCATCAGAGACTCTGGCAGGTTTTTCTATTACAGCCTAACTAAGAGGGAGAGCAAGAAAGGTAACAGAGACATGAGGGCACCCTGAGAGCACCCCTCCACTCCACCGTCAGCAAACTTGACTGAACGCGTGAGAGCAGCGGCGACACCAACAACACTCCCAGTTTACTATAAAACTCTGTGTCCATGAACCCCCAGATCTGCCCCTTTTGTCTAACAGGAAAAACTAATTACCAAAAGCTTGACTAAACAAGTAGATTTTTAGCCTAGACTTAAAGACTGAGGCTGTTTCTGAGTCCTGAACACTGACTGGAAGATTATTCCAAAGCTGGGGGGCTTTGTATGAGAACGCTCTACCCCTGATGTAACTTTATTAATTCTAAGTACTAATAGTAAGTAAGTAGCACCTTGTGATCTAAGTAGGCGTGATGGTTCATAAGAGAGAAGTTCACTCAAGTACTGAGGGGTGAGTCCATTTAGAGCTTTATATGTCAGTAAAAGAATTTTGTAATCAATGTGCAGTTCAACTGGAAATCAGTGTAGGTTTGATAAATCTGGGCTGATATAGTCAAACTTTCTGGTTCTTGTGAGGACTCTGGCTACAGCGTTCTGGACTAACTGAAGCTTGTTAAGGCTTTTGCTGGAACATCCAGACAGCAGGACATTACAGTAATCTAGGTAATAAATGCATGAACTAGCTTTTCTGCATCATGTAGAGACAGTTCATTTCTTAATTTGGTAATATTGCAGAGATGCAGGAAAGCTATTCTAATAATATTGGTTATATGTGAATTGAAGTACAGATCGAGATCTATCGTGACACCAAGATTTTTTTTTACAGATGTACCTGATGCAACTGAGAAACTATTAAGTTTAAGTATTGAATTAGATAGAGTTGAGTAGGAGAAAGTTACTTGACATCCAGTCTTTTATGTCTTTTATACAGTCCTTAGTCTTGTTAAGTTGAAGTTTATCATCTGATTTGGTTGATATATATAACTGTGTGTCATCAGTGAGGCAGTGGAAATTGATGTTGTGTTTACTGATAATGGCACCCCAGTGGTAGTATATATAAAGGGAATAGTATAGGTCTTAAAACAGAGCCTTGTGGAACACCATACTTTTGCAAGAACAGATGATTCGCCGTTTACATTTACTAACTGATAGCAACCAGTCAGGTAAGATCTTAACCAGGAAAGAGCTATCCCTGTTACCCCTACATGATTTTCTAGTCTATCTAGTATGATAGAGTGGTCTATCGTATCAAATGCCGCACTAAGATCAAGGAGGACTAGCAAAGATACATTTCCTTGTTCAGAGAATAATAAGAGATCATTTACAACTTTTTACTAGTGCTATCTCTGTACTATGATGTGGCCTAAAACCATACTGAAATTTTTCATGTATATGTCCTGTGCATATAGGAACTTAACTGTTTTGCGACAATTTTTTCCAAGATCTTTGATATAAAGGGAAGATTTGAGATAGGTCTATAATGTGATAGTTTGCAGAGATCAAGACTAGCTTTCTTAATCAGAAGTTTAATAACTTCTAATTTAAGAGTTTTTGGAATAGAGCCAAAACTAAGAGAGGAGTTTATTATTGACATCTAATACGTAATTAGAAGATTTTATGGAGGAAAAAAAATTAATTATCTCAGTTTGTTGAAGTAAGGTAAACGATTCCAGCCTCTCTGTAGTAGTTACAATATTCTCAAGATCTGGATTGGCATTGTGTCATGCCTTCTGTAGCGGAGACCGACAGCCCTCACTCCGTCCAGCACTCCAACTCCCAGAATTCACTGGGAGGTCACATGATCAGGAACTCTCAGCCATCCGCCTACCAACGTTCACGCTCACCTGAGTATTGATTGTTTACACCTGTTTCAAGGACTATAACTGTTTGTCTACCACGTTTTGTCTTTGCGAAGTATTGGTACATCCCCGTGCATTACCGAGCCTTGTTTTTGTGTTTCTGCCTGTTTTTGTGTTTACGACTTTTGCCTTACCCTTTTGGACTCTGTTTTGATTTCGTGTGTACCGACCCTCGACTGCTTGTACTTCGATTAAGGATTCTCCCTACATAAAAAACGTTTTACTATAGCCTGCTCTGCGCTCGTCTGAACATTCATCAGCCGTTACACATTGTAAGGCAGCAGGTTTGTAGAGTTTAACTGTGTGTTCTGAATTTTCTGCCTGACTTTTATAATCATTGCTGCTGTAGGCTGATGGCATTGCTGCGGTAGGCAGTGAGTAACTGCACAAGAGAGTGAAAGAAATAATGCGGG